CGGGCGGCCGGCGGGGAGGGTCGTGGGGCCCTCCCTGGACGGCGCCGTCCCTTCCCGGCGTCAGGCCTTGTCGGGTCGCCGGCCCTGGAGGGCGGAAGTAGCGGGGTTGAGGGGACGGCCTCGGACTCCGTGGTCCGGGCCGGGAAGGAGCGCCTGCCCGCATGCACGGGGCCCGGGGTTCGATCCCCCAGCACCCAGACACCGCGCGCCTTGAGCGGACAGCGCCAGGCCTCGAGTTCGGGCCCCACCGACCCACAGACAAGAGTCTACCTGTTTGTGTATTTTATTGCCAGAGTCTGAGTTTTAAGGATCACAACCCCAGGCTGTGATGGTCCGCACAGTGGGCTGCCATGTGTGTGGACGTGTTTAAAGGCGGAAGTAGAGATGTGCTGGAATTTAACGGTGGCGTTTGTCTGTACTTGAGTATTCAGGTCATAAATGGGTGAAAATTGAGGTTGAAGAGTAGTGAGTGGTTTGACTTTTTGGAGAACTGATGTATTTCTGCTTTTAAACTGCCCACTTTTTCTTACATGTGGTAACCATTCCTTTTAATGTTAATGTTTTAAGGCCTGGTACTGTGGCGCTGCGTGAAATTAGACGCTACCAGAAGTCCACAGAACTTCTGATTCGCAAGCTCCCTTTCCAGCGTCTGGTGCGAGAAATTGCTCAGGACTTCAAAACAGATCTGCGCTTCCAGAGCGCAGCTATTGGTGCTTTGCAGGTACAGTGGTGGGCATATAGGGAAAGCCCCTTAAGAGTTTCCAGGGCAGGCCCTGGTGGTGCTTGCCTGTGTGATCCTAGCTACAAAGGACCATGGTCTGCGTGTCTCTTTCACTGCTTCTCCCAAGAAAGGTCAGAAGGACCCCATGTCAACAAACAAACCTGGTGTGGGGGAAGTTTCTGTTCACTTGTAAACTTTTGCCTATTTTGATGCAGTCATAAGCTTGGGATGGTAGTTGACCTTTCTGTTGAGATGTGGGAAAGATTAGGTTACTCCCAGCATTGCAGTTATATGGCAAAATCATAATTTGATTCCAAAACGATGCCCACTGCACCTTTAAAAGTTTCTTTAACACTGTGTTAAAAACCATGCTTTGTGGACATTAAGATGTGTATTTGAGTCACACTTGAAACAGTGAGGCTAAGAGCAGTGTTGGAGAGTGCAAGACCTAAAGACACAGATGTAGAACAAGCAGCATTAAAACATCATGAATTCTTGGGCTGGGAATGTGGCTTAGTGGTAGAGTGCTTGCCTATCATGCATGAAGCCCTGGGTTCAATTCCTCAGTACCACATAGAAAAAGCAGGAAGTGGTGCTGTGGCTCAAATGATAGAGTACTCACCTTGAGCAAAAGAAGCTTCAGGGACAGCAGAGGCCAGGCCTGAGTTCAAGCCCCAGGACTGGCCAAAGTATGTGTATATGAAGTCTGGTACAAGTGATTGGGTCTCTAACATATGGAGAAAAGGTGTCTGAAGGGAGTTTGCTAACAGATTTCAGAGACTCTTAGCTCCAGGGTCACAACATTGGGAGAATTCTGTTCTAGAGATCTTTATGTGTATTTGATGTGTTTATGACATACCAAGATTAAAATTTGAAATGAAAGCCGGTATGGTAGCTCACGCCTGTAATCCTAGCTACTCAGGAGGCTGAGAACTGAGGATCGCAGTTCAAAGCCAGCCTGGGCAGGAAAATCTGTGAGACTCTTATCTCCAGTAAACCACCAGAAAACTGGAAGTGGTGCTGTGGTTCAAGTGGTAGAGCGCTTGCCTTGAGCTGAAGAGCTGATGGGACAGCGCCCAGGCCCAGAGTTCAAGCCCACGACCGACCAAAAAAAAAAGACTTGAAACTAACAAGATATTTGGCAGGTTTCACAATAAAAAAAATTAAAAAAAATATTTCGCAGGGCATAGAATGATTAATACCAATTGCCTAATCTATTTTAAATTGTGGTTAGCATTCTTCAGACCCTCTATATCTCAAAATAAGGTAAAACCACCACTTCCATCAGAAGCAGTGATAGAAGTGCAGGTTGCTGGCACCAGTGCAGACTTAAATCAGAATCCACAGAGACTCCATTGAGGGTTTTCAGGGCTGCTGTTGCTGTGCTTGGCGTTGGCTTTATATGTGAGAAAGAGCTGATAGGTAGTTTCTACCGTGAAGTCTAATTGGTCGAGCTGTTTCTATGGCTAATCTAAACTCTTTTGATTGGTGAATTCCAAAAACAGGCATCCATTAAATTTTCAGTGGGTTGAAATTACTGAAAATTCAACAACCAAAAATCTTCCTTTGCTGTTAAAGCTTTTCTTTTAATAACTCATTATCTTCAGTTCCTAAATCATTTATTACTTAATCAAGTATTACCAAGATTTCCAGGATTGGTAAAAAGTTGCTAATTTTTTTTCTTGGATTACTATGTTAGCAGGAGTATGCTTAAAACAGCACTAAACTTATAAGTTTTTTGTTGTTGTTTTTGTGTGTGTTTTTTGGGTTGTGGGGCTTGAACTCTGGGCCTGGGTGTTGTCCCTCAGCTCTTCAGCTCAAGGCTAGCGCTCTACCATTTGAGCTGTAGTGTCACTTCCAGCTTTTTCTATGTATGTGGTGCTGAGGAATCGAACCCAGAGCTTCATACATGCGAGACAAGCGTTCTACCACTGAGCCATCTTCCCAGCCCTACTTACAAGTTTTTCTGTATGTGTTTTTTGTTGTTTTTTAGTTGGTCATAGGGACTTGAACTTGGGGCCTGGGCACTGTCTCTGAGCTCTTCAGCTCAAGGCTAGCACTCTACCACTTGAGCCACAGCACCACTTCCGGTTTCCTGTGGGTTTTTGGAGATAAAGAGTCTCATGGCCTTTCCTACATGGCCTTTACCACCTGGGCTAGCTTTGAACCATGATCCTAGAACTCAGCCTTCTGAACAGCTAGGATTAAAAAGTTTTTATTTCTGGAACTTGCCATTTAATATTTTCAGACCATAGGTGAACGGAAATGGAATGATGATTAACAAAGGTCTGTGGGATGGAGAGGAATGAATATAAATGTAGCTTATTGGAGTAGTATGGTAGAGAAGAGATTAATTTCCTTTTGACCAATAGTTAACCTGAGAGAAATGCTGAGTGATGGGGCGCAGATCCTGCACGGTGGCAGAGTGCTTGGCCTCTCAGGCCCAAGTCCTGGTTTCTGGTTCAGTTCCCAGCCCTGAAGCCCCTTCCCCATCAAACACTGTAAGCCTTTTGTGTGAGTGTGTTTTTCTTTGTTTTTGTGTTGTTTTCCTCCTGGTTCTGGGGTTTGAACTGTGGCCTGGGCTCTGTCCCTGAGTTTTTCACTCAAGGCTAGGGCTCTACCCATTTGAGCCACAGCTTCACTTCATTTTTTTCTGGTGGAGATAAGCGTCTCACTGAGTTTTCTGCCTGGGTAGGCTGTGAACCTCTATCTTCAGAACTTAGTCCTCTGAGAAGATAGGGTTACAGGCCTGAGCCACCAGCACCCAGGTTTGTTTTTATTATTATAAGGGCGATGGACAGAGGGCTCACAGTTACATAAATCAGGTAGTGGGTACATTCCTTTATGGACACCCAGACCTCCCGTTGCTTGGCGCTCGTGGTTTTTCCTCTGGTCCCCACCCCCAAGGTGCATTGACTCACGGTTTCCGTGTCCAGTGAGCACCATTGCTGCATTCGCTCACACTTTGTCCCTCCATTGCTGTGCCCTTGGCCCTGCCCTCCCGAAGACATAAAAGAACAGAAAAAAACCCCACCTTTTTACGTTTTCTGGAGTTCACTTTGTTGAGCACACAAGCATTGCGCCTTTGTGTTCCCGTTGATATTTCCAAGAATTGGAATAGTTTTACTGCAAAATCATGAGCCAGGTCCTAGCTCTTACTCTAAAGAGGTTTTAAACAAAACTTAGGAAGGTCAGATTTCCCACTTAACTGTTCCAGGTCAGGTTAGACTTACAGAAAATGGCTTCAACATGAGCGAGCAGGTGTTTTAACATAGGTTTGAGTTCTGCATTATTTGCCAAGTGTCAAGTGCGGGTGATTCAGTAGTTCAGCCAGGAGTGGGTGTGGCTAGATGTCTAGGGAAGGACCGAACACCCACCTCTCTGTTAGAGGGTAGCAGGGGCACATCTCTTAGCCTTGTGATGTATTCTAGGATTTACAAGCATGTGTGTGATAAAATGGGTGTAACAGATGATAGGGCTGTGAAGTTGGCTCAGTGGTAGAGTGCATATCTGAGGCCCTGATTTTGATTCCTCAGCACCACATAAGCAGAAAAAGCTGGAAGTGGCGCTGTGGCTCAAGTGGCAGGGCGCTAGCCTTGAGCTGAAGAGCTGAGGGACAGCGCCCAGGCCCAGAGTTCAGGCCCCAGGACCAAAAACAAAAAGATAGGGCTGCGGGTGTAGCTCAATGGTTTAGAGCTCTTAGTATGTGCGAGTATGTGCTCAAGTCATAGGTTCAATCCCCAGTGCTGCTGTGGTAAATATGTAGATTGAATAAGAATGAATGGCCTTCTAAATAAAGCTGGGCTGGATATCCAAAGTAGGGGATTAGATATAATTCTGCAAGATTATGGAGATGGGATATGGCTGGGGTTTAACCCAGGATGACACTGTTGTTCACTGAATTTTGGGACATTTCTAGTCTTTATTTTTTGCCAATCCTGGGGCTTGACCTCAGGGCCCGGCGCTGTCCCTGAGCCTCTGTAATCAAGGCTAGCACTCTACTCCTTGAACCCACTTCCTGCTTTTTCTGAGTAGTTTACTGGAGATAGAAGTCTCATGGGGTTTCCTGTCCAGGCTGGCTTTTGAACCAAGATCCTCAGATCTCAGTCTCCTAAATAGCTAGGATTATAGGCATGAGCTGCCACCACCTAGCTTGTTTCCATATACTTGTGCATACATGTGTGTATTTTACATATACATCTACATCTATAGTTATGTATATTGTGTATACTGGGGAAATGGAAGTGCCTTGGTTAATAAAATTCGCAATTTGCCTTAAAAATTTATAGACAAGTTTTGACAGGTGGTTTGTGGGAGGGGTGGTGTTTGAAACAGGTCTTATGAATTCCTTTGGCTCAAGGCCTCCAACCCTGGATCCTCGTTAGTTGTATGCCCACATACTTGTCTAAATGCATGTGTGTTGGTACTCAGCTGAACTCGAGTTCAAAATCCCATTTTAACTCATACTTAGAAAGTCTTAACTGTTGAAAATATCATTAATAATTTTATTCTTGTTGCAGGAGGCAAGTGAGGCCTATCTCGTTGGCCTTTTTGAAGATACCAATCTGTGTGCTATCCATGCCAAACGTGTGACAATTATGCCAAAAGATATCCAGCTAGCACGCCGCATACGTG